AATAGTCGTAACACATGCAAAACAAACTTGATCTCAGTATAGGTCGATGTTCGCAATCATCCAACAGTTTCGGATCATCAAGTGCATAACATATCTGGTCGGTCGAGCTGGTCGGTCATTAACATTTAGTCTGAACTATAGTCAGAGTTTCGAACCTTCAGGATCAGGTCCACACATCCATTGATTACAATACCTCGACATCCGAAAGTCACTTCTCCGCGCCGGTCGCAACTTGTAGGCATAGTGATGGTCCAGAATTACCTTCGTTCCACTGACACCTTAGTGTATCCATATCATCTTCTTTTTCACCAATCCATCTCCTTTTGTGTACCCATCTTCTAGATGCCGGGAATACATACACCGTATTTTCATCCAACAGTTCACCGATCCCCACTATCGGACGAGATGAGGAGCTATATGTCGTCTGTTTCGATGGATCTGCCCGTGTCAAAAGAGGTGGAGGCGCCTACAGTGCGATCTTGTGGAAGTTGCCGGAATGGAGAGTGCTGAAAGCTAGATCAGGGTATGCCGAAGGCTTGACGGTGAATGAGGCGGATTACCATGGGTTGTTACTATGTCTGGATCTGTTGGAGGATCTGGATCCACGGCGTTTGGTGATCTGCGGAGACTCAAACCTGGTGATCCGACAAGTACGAGGAGAGATCGATTGTAAGGCGCCGGGTCTGACACTGCTACGTCCGCGAGCCTTGGATTGACTACGTACGTGGTCAGATCACGAACTATTGCACGTCAAACGAGACTGGAATGGGAGTGCTGACAGCCTAGCATGTGCTGCTCTGCAACGGCAATGTGGGATCGAGATAGAGTCTGACGCGGAGATCCAGGATCTCATCACGTTAAATCGGTTGGATGAGATCCTAATAGTGAAAGTCGAAGAAGGGATCGCACAGGTGTGACGACTCGATCTAAGGCTAAATCGGGAGTGCGTGTTGGATCTGATCCTAGCTCCCTACGAGAAGAGGTCGTGAGAGAGCTGCGGATCGAGCGAATCCGACAAGCACATGACGAGGAGTCGTGGATCATGGGCTTGAAGAAGTATATGATCGGGGAGATCCAGGATATGACCCAGGAGGAGGCTAAGATGTTTGGATCTATTGCTATGAATTATGAAGTGGATCAGTTGGATCTACTCTTCTATTGCCTGACAACTAAGGAAACCGCTGCAGATCGAGATAAGTTGATGCGACTGGTGATACCTGAAACGCTTCAACAGGACATTTTGCACCACTATCACACGAGTCTACAGTCTACAGGGTGTTCATCAAGGGGTCGGTCGCACCTATGATCGGATCCGTGATCACTTCCACTGGAGATGTTTGTATAAGAGTGTACAGCGATATGTGGGGGAATGTGTCGACTGTAAAACAGGCAAGGGAAGACCTCGGATCCAGGGTGAGTCACCTGGTAACCTTTAGGCAACGTACCCATTTCAGATCATTGCCATGGATCACATATCTTCATTGCCTAGATCCTTCAACGGCAACACTGAATTGCTGATCTTCGTAGATTTATTCTCGGGATATGTGATCGCCAAAGCCAGCGCTTCTAGATCCGCTCAAACAATCGCCGAGACGTACGAAGAATGTGTCTTCCATCGATTTGGCGCGAGCGAGGTGATCCGACATGATCGGGAGCCAGGGTTTATGTCTGAATTCTTTAAGTCGTTCAACAAGATCGTGGGACAATACCAACGGGCTACTATGGCGTATACACTCCAAGCTAATGGATCTGCAGCACGTATGGTTCAGACAACTACCAGGGCTCTTAAGATGTATGTGGAAGATCTAGATGAACGAGATTG